TTGTTTGAGCATGTTTCGACTATTTCTATTTTTGTCCCAAAATCCGCCTATAGGGGGACATGCCCGACCTGACGCTACCAGTGAACATGGAGATCGGAATTCGTAAGTCGGACATGCCCCTCACAGGAGGGATATTCAAAACTAGATAAAACATAGTATGGAGACGATTATTCAAGGACGTTTTGAATACTTGTTCAAAACTGTTACACTGTGTTCCAATGTTCGTCCAACGTCCGCCTGTAGGAGGACACGCCCGACCGAATGGACTTCCTAGGATGTTCCGAGGGAAACGACAGCACGTAAGCATCGCGGCGGACGATGGACAAGACGAGGAGCATGACATCGGATCCGAGGAGGAAGAGGAGGACGGTGATCGAGAGACAGGATAATGAGGATAACCAGAGGGCTGTTGGGGAGGAGGCGCAATAGCGGGATCGCAGTCGAACGCAGGTAAGGTGGCAACACCTTGCCATGAGTGTGGTGGAGTAGGGTGTTTCCACCACACCTTGCGACTTTGGTTGAACAAGCTCGGGCCAACTTTTGGAGGCTGCCTCGAGCGGCGCTGTTGTTGAGGATGGAGGACAAGTGAAATTCTAGACGCTACGCGTATCCCCACCAGCCCATCCACAAACGATGCGTAGGGGAGTTGACGGAAGAACGGAAGAAGAGACGCGCATAGTGAAACGGAGCGGGCAACAACGGTACATTGGGAGATCTTTTGTGGTGAAGGTTGCATGTGTTGCTGCTGGTGCTCTTGCTCCTGCTGGTACTGCTTCTGCTGCTGTTGCTGCTGGTGTTACTGGCTCTCGACCAGCGAATGCCCAGGCGAATGGAAGTGATCAGGGAAGTGAGGGAGCACACCCAGTAACCAAGGGCTGGGGAGCCTGTCTTATCCAAGACGGCGAGGATGGAGGAGGAATCGGAGGAGGAGGAGGAGGAGGAGGGGGAGGGGGCTGAGGGGCAGCAGGTGGGAAAAGGGGAGGAGAAGAGGAGGGAGGATGGAGGAGGGAGGCGGGAGGAGGAGGAATCTGCGGATGATGATGATGATGAGAGGAGGAGGAAGGAGGAGGAGGAGGAGGAGGAGATGGAGGAGGAGGAGGAGGAGGAAGAGGAGAAGGAGGAGGAGGAACAGTGAGAGCATGATGGCCAGAGGTTTCTTGAATGCTTGCTGGGGTTCTCTTCGGATGTATCTTGAAACGACGCCCAGGCGAGTTGAGGTGACCAAGGACGTGTGGGAGCAAAGAGGGGGACAGCCGAACCGAGCGAAGGAAGGATGAGGATAGTGATGACGATGATGACGCTGAATGGATGGACGGATGGATGGATGAGGGAGTGGGGAGAATGACGATGAATAGGATGAGGAAGAGGAGGAGGAGGAGGAGGGGGAGGAGGAGGAGGAGGAGGAGGAGGAGGAGGAGGAGGAGGAGGGAGGAGGAGAGGAGGAGGAGAGGAGAGGAGGAGGACGAGGAGAGGAGGAAGGGGAAAGAGGAGGAGGAGAGGAGGAGAGAGGAGGATGAGGAGGAGGAGGAGGAGGAGAGGAGGAGGGAAAGGCGGAGGAGGAGGAGGAGGAGTAGGAAGAGATTGTGGGGAAGAAGAATGAGGAGGACGAGAACCAGCAGAATAGCCAGAAGCAACTTGAATGCCTTTCGGATGTCTCTCGGAAGCCTTTTGGATGCCTCTTGGGGCGTCTTGGGGGTATCTTGGCGATCCTGGGGGGCTCTTGGGCGTATTGCGCGCCTCGGGGGGGGAGCCTCTTTGGGCCGCTTGGGTCCTCTTGGGGGCCTCTTGGGAGCCTCCTGGGGCCATCTTGGGGGCCTCTTGGGGCCTCTTGGGGCCTCCTGGGCGCCTTTTGGGGCCATCTTGGAGGAGATCGATCAAAGAAGAGGGTGGTGGCAATTAGCGTCCCCCCTCGGGAGCCTCTAAAAACGCCTCTTGGACCCCTCTTGGAGCGCTCTTGGAGCGCTCTTGGGCGCTCTTGGGGCCGTCTTGGGGCTCTCTTGGGCCCCTCTTGGGGCCTCCTTGGCCCCTCTTGGAGCCATCTTGAGGCCTCGGACGGCCATCGGAAGCGAAAAGGCGAGAAGGCACAAATCATTGGGAAACCGTAATTATTGGAAGGATTTTGGCCTCTTGGAGGCCTCCTGGGGAGGCTATTTGGCATCTTGGAGCCGTCTTGGGGCGGTCTTGGGGCCTCTTGGAGCATCTTCGGAGCCAGCTTGCGGCATCTTAGGCTATCTCGAGCCATCTTGGAGCTCATCTTGGGCTCTCCGAAGCGCTCTTTGAGCTGTCTTGGGCCATCTTGGACGCTCTGCCGACCAGCGGCCCCCCCGTCCAGGTCCAGGGGGGTCAAGTTACCCCCTCCCCGCCCGCAAGCCGTCTCGCTCACTCCCACCCGCCCTCCCAACACGTACGTAGCACCCGGGTCTGGCCCGAGCCTCAGCATATTCAGCAGTCGTCTTGGGATGAGCAGCTACTGGGGGCCAATCCGCCGCCGCCGCCTCCGCCTCCGCCTCCGCCGCCGCCGCCGCCGCCGCCGCCCGCTGCCTCCGCCGCCGCCGCCGGGCCGCCGCCGCCGCCACCGCCGCCGCCTGTCGCCCGCGCCTGGCCGGCCGTCGCCGCCAGCCCGCCCCGAGCCTCAGTGTCGCCGCAGCCGGCGCGCCGCCACCGCCCGCCGCCAGGCCCTACCGCCGCCGCCGCCGCCGCCGCCCCCCGCTGCCAAACCGCCGCCGCCGCCGCAGCCGCTGCCGCCACCGCCGCCGCCGCCGCCGCCGCCGCAGCCGCCGCCACCGCCGCTGCAGCCGCCGCAGCCGCCGCCGCCGCCAAGTGTACTCTGTATTGTTTTTTGACAGGGATGGTGGGGGGGCCGCATCGGGTTGGCTACGCATGTTCCGAATTTGGAGGCAGAGTGTGTTTTGTATTGTTTTTGTACAAGGGATGTCTGGGGGGGGTGGCATGGACCCTGGTTGGCCCCCAGTCGCCTCGGGGAGGGGGTGTTTATTAATAGGGAACAGTGATAAACCCCTCCCCGAAGGGGAAGAAGGAGGGGTGGAAGAGGAAACTCCCTAAACCACCTACGCCCAGAGGGCTGGTGGGATTAGCCGAGTTTCAATGTTGGGAGGGATGCCTCGCTCGAGACGGCTGTTCTTTTCAGAACGACGCCCAGGATCACTGGACTCGTTGAAAAGTCGGTGAGCGTTTTCCCCTTAAACGGCTGAAGCCCAGGGTTCTCTTTTAGTTGTTTACCACCGAAATCGACGGCTGTAGGGCCGGCGAAATGATTCGCGATACATATCGAGGTCGCGTATGGCTGGCGAACTTATGTTCCAGGATGTCTCGAGCGAAGCGCTTGTTTCGAAGAACTGGTTGAGACTTTCTCGATCGAAACGCTTGTTTTGTGTTATAGATTGTCCTCTCCTTGGGAACCGAATTCAGAGGATCTCTCAAGTGAAATGCTTGTTTCCACGTGCCCAGGTCTTGAGGATTTCTCGAGCGATACGCTTGGTTTCACGCGTCCAGGTTGCCCATGCAGATGTCTAGCATGAGGAATTGTTGAGGCTGTCTCGAGCGAGACGCTTGTTTTCGCGCGTCCTGGTCGCCCAGGCGGATGTCTAGCATGAGGATGTGTTGAGGAAGTCTCGATCGAGACGCTCGTTTACACGTGTCCAGGTTGCCCAGGCGGATGTCTAGCATGAGGATGTGTTGAGAACGTCTTGAGCGAAAATATTGTTTTACGTGTCCAGGTCGCCCAGTCACAGCACCGACCTGGGCACGGTGCATCAAGATCGATACATTCAGCGTTGCAACTTGGCCCTTCCTTGGCACGTTCGGTGGCGCGTCCCGTGGCGAGTACACATGGCACGTCGCGCGACGCGTCCCCTGGCACGTCCCGTGGAACGTCCATTGGCACGTTGCGTAGCGCGTCCCTTTGGCACGTCCCGCAGTGCGTCCCCATGGTACATCCCTTGGCACGTCGCCTGGCGCGTTCCTTGGGACGTTCCGCGGCGCGTCCTCCTGGCATGTCCCCCTGCCAAGTAGCTCTGGGGCAGCTACTAAGTGCTCAGGCAGCTCGAGCTTCAGATCCGGATCAGTTCCGTCTGGCCTCGTATGCAAAAGAGGATTTTGTCCACAACGCTATAGAGCGCAATCGCGGCGTGGCACATCGCAATCCAGCACGGCGCAGTACAGCACAGCCCTCCTAGATCGATACCTTCAGCATTGCACGTGCCCGTCGCCAAGTCAGGTGTCTTTGAACTGTTGTCATGTCCTACATTTCTATATTCCTTTCCCGGCTCGTGAGTCGATCATGTTCCAACACTGACGTCGCGCCCTGCTATTTTCAAAATAATGAGGAAGTCCCGAGCGAAACGGCCAGTCACATCGACATCGGGGGCGGACGGTTTCAATTCATCGCCTCTGAGCCATACTCCATCGGAGTGGTGCGTATTATAATACGTGTGTGCATGTATAGTCATATACAGATGTGCAGCCAGAGGCAGAGATAAAGACAGATGAGAGACAGAAAGAGAGAGACAGAGAGACAGAGAGAGCGAGAGAAGACATATAGGGAACGAGAAAGAAGAGAGAGATAGAGAGAGAGAGAGAGAGAGCTGGGATGGGGGATCGGGAAGGAGGGGTAAGTCCGGGGTGGACAGAACCCCCACCCTGACACGTCGATCAGTGACTTGTCCGTTTTCGGTTCTCGAGAGGGCGCCGCGGCCGTCAGCTTCCAGGCCTGCGCCCGCCAGGTTTGGGCCCGAGGTCGTTCTCACCAATCCACGTTTTATTAAAGGGGGTTCTGTCCATCCCCGAGTAGGAGGAGGAGGAGGAGGAGGAGGAGGAGGAGGAGGAGGAGGAGGAGGAGGAGGAGCAGCAGCAGCAGCAGCAGCAGCAGCAGCAGCAGCAGCAGCAGCAGCACCAGCACCAGCACCAGCAGCACCAGCAGCACCATCAGCAGGCACCCGCGGCACTGGCGAGGGCGGCCGTGGGCCGACGGCGGGGGGGAGGCCCTTCGGCCGCGGCTCCCCCGCGCTGGGCAGCGTGGCGGAGGCCGGCGGCCGCCCGCCGCCCTGCGGGGGAGGGGGAGCAGCGGGAGGGCGAGGTCCCGGACTCGGGCCGGGCGAAGGGGGGGGAGGAGGCGGAGGAGGAGGAGGAGGAGGAGGAGGCGGAGGCGGAGGAGGAGGGAGACCGCCGGAAAAGGCTCAGGAGGTCTGCGAGACTTGTTCCAGAGACGCTGTGCGAGGCTCGGGCCGGGCGAAGGGGGGGGGATAGGGAAAGGGGGGGTACGACATTTGCTGCAGGCAGCTGGTTTCGGCCCCACCGAGGGGCCCATGCCTCGGTACACAGCCGCCTCCGGCGCCGGAAGGCGCCGGGAAAAGCAGCTACGTGAGCTGAGTCTCCCCCCCCCCCCCCCTTTGCGATCCCCCCCTTTCGCCCGGCCCGGCAGACATGATCGTGGCGTAACAAAACCAGGACGGGAGGCTTGTTGGGAGTCCTGGGAGCTTCTTTGGGGGCCTCTTGGGACCTTTTGTGGGCTCTTTGGGGGCCTCTGGGGGGCCTTCCTGGGAGCCTCTTGGGGCCGAGGGCTCGAGATGTCTGTTCGGGGTCCCCATCTGGGCCCCCTCTTGGGGCCATCCTGAGCCCGCATTGGAGGCCTCTTAGGCCGTTTGGGGGCCATCTTGGGGGCCATGCGGGGGCCCTCTTTGGGCGGCTTTTTGGGCCGTCTTGGAGCGATCGTGGGGCCTCTCGGGCCGTACAGGGCGGTCGGGCGGTCGGCAGCTCGAAGAGGCGGTACCGCCAACATCGTTCGAAACTTTCGAGCCCAAATACATCATTTGTGCGTCTTCGGGG